AAAATTATTTTATTTTTATGTAAAATAATAAATTTATTAATAAATAATTAAAATTTTGATTTTATATAAAAAAAAGTCATTTGAAAACTTTTTAATAAAAATTTAAAAGTAAAACAAAATAAAAATAGTCAATATTAAAAAAAAAAGGATAATTATGAGGAAAAACACCGATAGCTCTTCACTGAACCCATGAAGGTCTAGTTCCTAAATAATGGTGAGGCACTGCGGTGATGTTTCTACTGGACTGTCATTAGTTATCTAAACGAGTTTGTGACGCGATTCACCTTTCAACTATGCCAAACTGATGGCGCTTTAGTGGGTAAAAATCTAATTATATGCCAATATAATCAGGTCTGACTTGAGTGCCCACTTTACTTAACAACTCGGAATTCCTTTAATGGGTTTGTCCTTTTGCTTTTTTTCCTGGTTTAATCTAAAGTGTGGAAATGGTTGTTTTCCGTACAAATATGCAATTATGTGTGTCCTTTGCGATGCACTCATCTTTTTAAAGAGAGTAACCTCGTGGAAATTGCCTTAGATATTCTATAGCTTTTGCTTTGCTCCAAAGAGGAAAAGAAAAGAAAAGGAAGAGAGATTAACATTTAACCCTACTCAGAAGCTGTCCTTCCGGCCTCAGGTGAGGAATGAGAATGTGGTTGTCCTTAAACCTCAACATGAAGTTTAATGGCAGGAAATTCCCTCTACCATAGGGCAATGTCAAAAATGAAAAGACGTAGTTATGTTGAATATGGTTTCCCTGTATTTAAAGTTTGTGGTACGATCGTTTCCTTTTTCTTGAAACAACGCAGGATGGACCCTTTTTTTGAAGTTTTAAACTTAATTCCTGGGAGAAATAACCACTCATTCATATTTTATTTTGTTATAAAAAAAATTTATTCTAACCTCAAGTCAAAATAAAATGTATATCTCAAAAAATTTATTGGCTGCATTCGAGGTTAACACTTTTAAAAGATCACTAGCAAGGCATTTTATAACGAAAAAAATGGGCTCAGTAGATTGAGCCAACCCTTTGTTTATCATAGAAAGATTTAGAAGAAATTTATGAAGTTTTTTTATTAAAAATGATTAAATCAAAATTAAAATGGATAAATTAAAAAATTTTATTATATAAATTAAATGTGTAAAATTTAAAAAATTTTAATAAATTTTGATATATATTTTTAAATAAATATTTTTAATAAAAATATTTACAAAATTTTTATTATTATATAAATATCGATCAAATTTAAATTATAAATAATATTTTTAATAATTTTTTTACATAATATTAATTTCATATTAAATTTTATTAATTTATGAATTTGAAATTTTTATTAAAATTTTTGTTAAATCATTTTTTAAAAAATACTTTACAAACTTTATTTAAAAAATTTCATACAAACTTTGTCCTATTAACCATATTTGTTCGAATTTTGAGAAAGAAATCTAGTTTAATCAATAAATAAAAAAAAGGCAGGCTCCACTTCAGTCCAGAAAGAATCCACAGAGCCAGCCCATTTGAGATTTGCTTTTGAGGGAAAGATTGTTCAATATTAATTCACCCACCGCCACTGCACTGCGAGGCACGAGGCCATGACATTAACAAAACACTACTGGTTTTGTAGATGATTAATTGTGAAGCCTAAAGTAGTGGATGAACATCACTCCATGACTTTGTCAGTGACTTAGAATATATTACATGACCCGAGTTTTCAGCTTCCCTAGGTGTTATCTATTTTTTGGTATGGCAACCAATGCTGGAAAGCAACATTTTTGTAGATTTAAACGTGATAAAAGTTTTCTTAAAACCAATGATTAATACGCAGTTTACTTTCAAAATCACCTATCAGGTATGGTTTAAAGGGCTAGCTAGAGTTATTTCTTAGCTCATTGGCTACTGGGGCATGAAGTACAAAGCTAAAGGGCTGCAGGAGCTGAAACCTCTTTACCACCTGGCAAATGACAGGGTCAGGGGGTACGTTGAAAAATTGCAAGTATCAGATTTGATGATGTTTTCAGTTTTCAGGCTATCCGGATTTCATTCCAGAGAGACACATCAAGCTTAAAGTTTGGGATATGGTAGGATTATGGGAATATCTGCAAGATACTCAATTATTTCTGACTTGAATATTGTCCCTGTAAGCTATATAGAAATGTTAAAAAGATTTGCAATATTTGATAACCACCAGGAAATCAAGTACTTGATTTTATTTTTCCACCTTATGAACTCATCATTATGCTTATTTATACATTTTCTTCTACCATACTTATGATTATGTTCAGTACCCAGATTTTTTTATAATGTTAATAGTTTCAGAAGTTGCCCTTTTACAGACAGTAGAACCATGCCTATTTTAAAAAACATTGGAAAGTTAAAAAGAGATCTTTGTCCAATGTGTCTTTGATGCCTGGAATAGCAGTTATCGATTTTTCTTTTTGATAATGATTTGTAGTTGTGGTTTTTATTTTCCGTCAGCTTTCAACTCCTTTTGATTCGCCATTTTTCATAGTGAAAACACTTCTTTATGTGGAAAACATCAATGACTTGGAATAATTATCGGGCTGAGCCGTCAAGGGTTGGATGAGTTTGAATCGAATAGAACGCATCATTGTTTTCAGTTTCCTTAACAGCAGCCTTTCCGCTTTAATATCAAAAGGAAAAATGATGATGATGATTACTTCTCCTATGCGCATGCTTCTCTTTGCTTTTCATTGGATGGTATGAAAGATTTCACATTCTTTCGCATGTTTACTCTATCTTAATCCCCATCATGCAGCCAATTAAAATTAACTAATCATAAAAATCCGTCTTCCAACCCAAGACTTTCTTTTTTGTGATAATATATAGTCATGGGTATCTCTAGATTTATTTATGTCTAATTTTATGGAGTGATTTTAAGAAGGGATTTTTTTTATATCTATGTAATGCATTTAAAATTTTTCTATAAAAGTTTACTTTTATCAATTAAAATAATTATAAGTGAAATGTTCTTACTTTCTAATTTCTTATATATTTCTAATCACGATCAGTTGTACTGTTTTTATAATTTCTACTACCTTCAAACCGTCCACTAATATTATACTACAAGAAACTGAGAATTCATTTTCTGGCTTTGTATAATCGGTAAAAAAAAAAAAAAAAAGGAAGCTTGGGGCAACTTTGTGTAAAGAAGAGAGGAAAAAGCTTAAAGCTTCTTTGAAGTATAAATCTTACTGGCCCAAAAAGAGTTAGGAGGAGGCGGCATCAAGCATGGGCTCTGAACTTTGTAAAGCCGAAAAAAAGAAGGACCCAAGTTATATTTTCACTGGCTTAGAGAAACTCTGGTGTGGCAAAATCTTATGAGATTCTTCGCTTCAGGTATCCCATCTCATCATTGCTAAATAGGTAAGGACCACATCTCAGGGAGACCATAGGGGTAAGAAGGGTAGGGCCAAGGCGGGCGAGCTCGGCGCATGCCGCATGGGTGATGGCGGGGTCGGTTTCGGCTTTGGCTTTGGTTAATCATCTATTTGGTTTTGTGATTGGGGACTTTACCAAGAATGTTGATATGAAAATTAGTCTTGTTTTGAGGAGTTAATCGTTAGTTTTATTTTTTTATAAAATAATTGGAATATGAAATAAAGATAAAGAATTTTAAAATTTAAATTTATTAAATATTATAATTAAATAAATTAATTGAATTAAACTTAAAATTTAATAATTAATTATATTAAACACATGCAACAATCAAATATGAGATAACTAAAGGATTTTAAGCTGTCCAATGAGACCAAACCACCGATGTTGGTGGGTCTGGTTTTATTTTCTAATTGATTAGATTTCGAATAGGTACAACAGGGACTTATTTTGATTGGATCTTCATCAAATTAATCCAAATTTTCTCTTTATTATTCCTTCGTTCCTTGTAATAATAATAATAATAATAATGTGAGACTATAACTATGCAGCTCTTAAACTGGTACGCAGAAGAATGGCATGGTGTGAATACCCACATAGGTGATTTAGGTGTGGTGTACCATCTCAATCATTCCATCTCCATACTATTTATTTGACTACCCAATCCTTGATGTGGGGTCCCATTCCACATCACACGATATGGAAAAAAATCACATCAAAATCAAGTAATCAATCACAGAAGATCGTGTACAATGTTCCATAACAATCTCAATTTTAACGGTGGGGTGTTGTACATTGGATAACGATCAGCTCAGCAATGGTTAATTAGATGTGATAATCCTAATATTTAGTTTATATAATATGTTAAAATTTATATGCTTATATTATATTTTATATAAAAATTATTTATTATAACTTATATTAAATTTTAAATAATATTTTTAAATTTATTAAACTTACTTATAATAATTATTAAAAATTTAAATTATATTATTTTTATATTTTTAATATCTTATCATTATATTATATTTTAAATTATCTCTGATTTCTAAGAAAATTACCCGTTGATTTCGCAAATAATAGTTTTTCGTTAGTATATTTTTCCAGCATGATCACAACCAGGACTTGAAGTTAATCAAATAATCTGACTTGACCAGGTTGGTTAGTTGATTGGCCTTTTTGAATAGGGCAACTGCTACAGCTGGAAACAAGTACCAGGACAACAAGGTAAAATTGATGATTAGATTCCATTTTTCCGTATGTTTCCAAAAAATAAAGAAAAATGCCTGCAGGTATTATTAATTAATTGACTAATCATTTAAAAATACTGTTAAAAACGTGGGAAATCATATTATGCTATAAACGTACAGTCTCTTCTGTGACTTGTCCAATCAAGATAGACATATGTCGACTTTATCAGCTTGAACCAATCAAGCAAAATCGCATCTTTTGTCCATGGGACAAGGGGAGAAGAGAAGCCAACCCACTGATTTGACCCAGAGATGAGATTGGATGGTGTAGAAGGGAGATTTGGTGGGGACAATGTGAATCAAATGATGGGCGAAGGGTGGTGGTACATGGAGACTGATGGAGCTTAGGCGTATAATTTGAGAGTTTCTGACATGAAGAAGTTTAGTTGGCAGAGAGAGAGAGAGAAACAAGTGAGTAACAGCAAAGAGAGGTCTGTTCTGTTAGAATCGTTGGCAAATTGTGTCAGTGAAACAAAAAGAGAAAAGAAAGTATAATGTCAAAGAAGGAAGGAAGGACGGAAGGAAGCAAGCTTGGCCCTGAAGAGGAGAACCTCTAAGATAAATATTGTAAAATATGAAAAAAGAAAAAGGTGTTTAATAAATTAAAAATTTACAAAGGGAAAAAAGGAAAGGAGCTTAGGTTCTTGTAATAATTTAGGAACAAGAGCAGTTGGCAGTGGTTACTGTCTTTTAAAAAAATGCATACATGTCACCTGTAAGCTTGGGCAGGTAAGCAAAGTTTCAATTTTTATCTTTCTTACACATACTCCACTCTCTCTTACGTGCTTTCTCTCTCTGGCCTTGTAGGTCTCCTCTCTTGCATTTTTTAGAGGGTAAATGATATAAAAGGTTGGAATTTGATGCTTCTTTCTGCTGTTTTGTGCGAGTGCAAAATTGGTGAATTTGTTTTCCTCTTGTAGAATTTAAGCTTAGCATTTGATGTTTTTAGAGTTACTGTCAAACAACCAATTTGACTGTGAATGAGACTGCCCCATCTCAGCTCATGCATAATTCAAGTTAGAATTTGATGCTTGTCTTTTTTGGAGACCCATCTGAGAATATCTCAAAAGGGTTTCTACAAATTCCTTTTCTTGGTCCTTAGAGGGTTGTTAGGTCTTGATTCAAATCTCGAACATTTGGTTACTGGCTTTGTTAGGAATTTCTCCTACACACCATTTTTCATTCTACATTCGTTTGATTGCAAATTGAAGACTTGAGTTGATCCTCCTCAATAGGGTTTGAGTTGAAGAGATTCAAGACTGCTCAACATAATCAATCACATTGGTGTTTAATTGAGTTTGAGATTGTGAAAAATATAGTTCTTCTCTAAGCTAAAAGGAAAAAGGGAATCTGCTTTCCTTTTGTTACTCTATTGAGCTGTTACTTAGCTATTGCCATCGTTTGTCTATGTCCACTTTATGCTCTGAAAGGTTCACTTTCTTGTCTGCGGGAAGCATTTTTCTTTTTTGCCTTCCAGCAGAGTAGACTTGATCCTAGGGTTTTTGGAAGAAGAGGTAAATAATTTGTCTGTGTAAGATTTTGTGCCTGATGCATTGGATTTCTCCTTTTACTTTGTGTCTCTAGGATTCTGCAATGAGAGGTTTTTCTTACTTTAACATCCTCTCAGTTCTATAAAGCTGCCAAGATTACTTGTTTCCTTGTTCAGTCTGCAAGATATCCCCAGCTAATTTTGGTCAAGCCAACTTTCTCTCTAATTTTAGCTACTTTCCTTCTGTTAAATATCTATTCTTAGCCCAGGTCTAGGTTAGCCGTTGAGTAGGGCTTGATTTCAAATATGCAATTATAGATAGGCTGAGTTCCTTAGAATTTGGATGGTTAGCTTTAGAATCTAGAGCATGGCTAGTGGTGATAATGATGTTGTGGGATTTGAACACAGAAACGAGAGCCTTATGAATTGTCCATCTTCACAGATGAACAGAAATCCTTTGTCTGACAAATTTGATGGAATGGCAATGAGTTCAATATCAATGTATAACAAGCCTTCAAATACATCAGATCCTTTCTTTGGTTCTGGTTGGGATCCAATTGTGTCACTGAGTCAGAGTGAAAGCCTTGGGTGTTCTTCAATGGTTTCTCACAGTGAATTTGCGAATTCTCAATATCCTCTTCTAATAGAAAATCAGGGAATGAGTAGTACGTCCCACTTTTCCCAGTATCAATCTGATCCAAGCTTTGTTGAGCTGGTGCCAAAGCTTCCGGGATTTGGTGGTGGAAATTTGTCAGAAATGGTTGGTCCCTTCAGTCTACCGCAATGCAGCCAGATTGCCAACAGCAGGTGCCCCCCAAATAATGCTCTAAACTCTGAGGTTGGCAATGAAAGGACTTCAAAAAATAGTACACGATCTCTTGATGAGCAACAAATTTCAGAAGAGGGGGTTGTAGGTGCTTCGCCCAATGGAAAGAGTAGAAAACGAGTTCCTGAATCAAACTCTCCACTAAGATCATTCCAGGTATATTGTTAATATGATCACTAGAATATCAAAATTTTGAAGCAATATGATAATCTATGGCACCACTGACATGGTAAATTGGCTATTTGCATTAGAATGCTGACGAGGAGCCTCAAAAGGATCCTTTTTTAGAGAGCTGCGATGTTCCAAAAGAACAGGATGGAAAGAAACAGAAAATTGAACAAAATACAGGTGCAAATCCACGTGGTAAGCAAGTTGCAAAACAAGGTAAAGACAGTTCTCAAACTGGAGAAGCTCCAAAAGAAAATTACATCCATGTGAGAGCAAGAAGGGGTCAGGCTACAAATAGTCACAGCCTGGCAGAAAGGGTAATTCTTGTTTTCATATTGAAAGAACAATTTTTGTGTTCTTTACTTAATATTGAATCTGTAAACCCTCCTTGTGGCAGGTGAGAAGGGAAAAGATAAGTGAGAGAATGAGATTGCTTCAAGAACTTGTACCAGGATGCAATAAGGTAAGTAGAGGTACCATAGCTTCATTCTAGACTCTTTCTTATAAAATAAAAAAAAAGGAATCTTGATTATTTGAGGTGGTTTCATTGTTTTAGATAACTGGGAAAGCTGTAATGCTTGATGAGATTATCAACTATGTCCAGTCACTGCAACAGCAGGTTGAGGTAAGATACCATGAGTCTATCTGGGTATTATCTTACCTTAGGCTGGTAACTAAATAAGGGATCCTCCCTTTGGGATGTTACAATGCAGTTTTTGCAGTATTATACTAAAGGTTTAGGACATGAATTTGAGAATTATGCCATTTTTACATACAAATATGAATGAATTTAGTGATATAGTACAATTGAATCTGTTTTTGTAACATTGTTACTTGGATCAAAGTATACTAAATTTCAGTGATGTATATACCCCCGTTTCTTTTTTGCAGTTTTTGACAATGAAACTTGCCACTGTCAACCCAGAGTTAAACCTTGATTTAGAGAGAATTCTATCCAAAGATGTAAGTTATTCTTCCAATATAAATTGAAAAATTGTACTATCAGTTATGATTTGATATACAAGAAACCATATGAATCCTTACTCTTCCTCCTATATAGATTCTTCTTTCGCGTGGAAGTGCTGCAGTTCTCGGATTAGGTCCAGGGATAAACTCCTTTCACCCTTTCTCCTCTGGTACCTTTCCGGGAACAATTTCTGGCATCCCAAGTACAAATCCACAATTCCCTTCCTTGCCCCATCAGGTGTTTAAGGATCTCAAAACCATTCTTTCTCACCTCTTGCTCATCAAAATATTGATTCAACACTTTTCTGTTGCCTACAGACTGTACTAGACAATGAGCTGCAAAATCTTTTTCAAAGGGGATTTGATTCCACTTCAGCCATGGACTGTTTGGGACCAAACGGTATTTCATTCAAGTATTGGAGTTAAACTTTCTTACTTGGTTTTCCATTTTCAAACCTTTACGCCTCTTATCATTTTCAGCAGGGCTTTTAAAATCAGAGCTTTGATATGCGGAAGAAGTTAAAATAAAAAGGCTTTAGTTTTCCTAATAACCACATTCAAATGTTTCAAGTTGACTGCAGATTGAACTCATCTAGAAAAGAAAATTGGGAAAACAATGGAGGAAAAAATGGGAAAAGAAAGAAGAAAAACCAGGATTCTTCAGCTGTATAGGTTCTTTTAGTTTCTAACTGTGTGTTTTCCGAATTTTTAGTCGAGGAAGATAACTTGTTATAATTACAAATCATGTACATTAAGGCAACAAAAGCAAGACTTGGTTGATGGAATTTTGTTTTTAGTTGGTATCATTGTAAGGGTTTGATGCATGTGAAAGCTTGCGAAATTGTGCTAAGAAAATTCTCTTGTAGTTTGAGAATGATGATCGAACTTAATGAATAATTTTATAGTTGCAAAATAGACTGCTTGAAACATCTAAAGATCGATTAAAAGAAACTGCTTTAGGTATGATTACAACACTTTTTCCCAGCTCCTTTTGTCCTAATATATGAACCAAAAAAATCCAACTATATTTTCCCTAATGGGCGAAACAAAACAAAGGAAAAAGAAGTATTCGGCTATGGTTTTGTTCGCAGAAAGGAACAAGTCATTATTATGAAAGGGAGAGAAGAGGAAATGAAAGAAATTAAGGATGTTTATAATTTAGTTTTAATTGATTTAATTTGGTTAATAGGTTAATTATTAAAAATAATTTTAAAAATTTTCAGTTAAAAATATTATAAAATTTATATATAAAATGAAAATGTAAAAATTTGTTTATTTCATTTTAAGTTATTAGAGTTTTTAATTTAATATTTTGGTAATTAAATATCCTTATTAGATGATTTTATTTAATTTGTTTTACATATAAAAACAGAATTTAAAATTTAATTTAATATATTTTATTATGAGGTTAATAAAAAAATATTAATCAAATAGGTCGAATTATTTTCAATTGATTAATTTTTGAAATTAAAAAATTTAATTCCATTAATAAAAATAGAATAAAATATTTTGATTAATTTAATTTAAAATTAATCAAATTGAAGGAATGAATATCTTTAAAAGAAACAACTAAAGCTAGTTTTCCAACTTTCGTGGTTGTCGGGCTGTCGGGGCAAATCTTATTCAACAAAAATGGGAATGCCATAAAATCAGACCGGTACGAGAAATAAGCATTGTTAAATCTGGACATATATTGATCAATTAGCAGCAGCATTTCTCTATAGGCCCAATGAGGCCCATAAATCATTCTCCTCTCTTACCATGACATATGGACAATAGTGCTATAAGGCTTTTGCATGAGCTTACTTACTCAAGATTTTATCTTCGGAAGATAAACTCTTGTGGGTTGATATTTAATTTAATTACTGTTGGATAAATATCTTAATTGTATTATCTTCCTTTGACATTGTTTTTTAAGATATGATTATTATCAGTATTTTTTTTGGCCAAATAAAAATTAGTATCAAACTTGATAATGTTATTTGGCCAAAAAAAATTGATAATATTTTCATAAAAAATCAGGAGAAGTGATTAGATTGACTAACTAGTATGAAAAATCAAAGCAAAGGAGGGAAAAATAAATTGCTAAAAAGAAAGAAAACATTTGGACCAACAATTATTTCTTGTTGGACAACAAGAGCAAACAATTATTGTTCATTGGTATGAGTAAAGCTGGTAGCCTTACATTACATATAATTGCTTTTTTATTATGATTATTACTGTTGTTTTGCTTTATTGGACCGACAATTATTTTGAAAGCGTGCTAGCTTTTTCGAAGTGGTAGAAAAGATGAGTAGGAATGGGATGGCTAATGAATACAATATACCTAGAAGATATGGATTTTACAAGATAATTTCATAACGAAAAGAGTACATGAAAGACAAATGTAACGAACATTTTATTCGTAGAACATTAATTTTGTCAAATGAGGGACATTTTACGAAAGAAGACAAACTACATTTGAATTTGCAAAACATGGACGTTACAGCCAATCTTGCGAGCATGGGCAAATTTCATGCCATTTGTTGACGTTCCTCCTTCAATTGTTTGGATTTTATAGAATTTCTTTTTCTTTTTATTAAATTCAAAATCAGTTCTGACTATTCACAATAACCTCAACTGTTGAAAGACTTGCAACAAAGATGGTTGGAGCATGAAAATGTAAAAGCTGTAAAAACATTCTCCAAGCAAACGTTAATTGACGACACATAAACCCCATCATCATCATCATATATCCTCGGAAGCATGTTCATTTTTCTTCCTTTCAATTACATCAATTCAAAATTTTCTTGTCTTTTCTTGAACAAATTACGTGCGGGAAAATATTTCATGGGGTTCCATATCCTAGTGTGGTCCAACCAAAACTTCGGTGAGCCATCTCTTGCACTGGGCTACGACCCCACGACTCTAGAATCAGACCATGGAGACCCCCATGTGCTTGCCAGCTACCAAAGGACATATTTTATAACTAGCAATTGTATAGTGTTAGGACAAAATTTAAGCTCAATTTAATCCTGGATAATATTTCCATCCGAAATTTTAACTGAATCTGTCAAAACGAGGCTGAAAACGTTAGAAAAGAAAGTAAATGTAGAAACAACATTAGTACTCTGCCGTTGGCAGACCTGAAATGAAAAAGTTTCAGTTTTTAAGATCCTTTCCTTAGCTATTTTCAGCAACTTATCCAAACATAATTAGAAAGGTGGTTTCTGTTCATGAAATCAGGTGGAGGGGAGGATGGGGGATGATTTTTGAAGAGATAAGAGGGCTAGTTGTCCAAATATGATCAAAGATCGAAGTTTCGTTAGCCAATAAAGATTATCATGTTTTTTTAACTTTTCCTGAATTTGTTGAACAAAAGGTTTTTTAGTTTGTATAAGAATCCCAATGACTAAATGTGAATAAAACAACAGTAAAGGGGGCGGGTACATAATTTGCTTCAAGTGAATCAAATGATTAATGCAAACATCCACAGCTTCAATGGAAATTGGCTCAATTACCATCCGAGTAAAATAAGTGAAAAAAAAAAAACAAGGGATCAATGTTCTAGCCTGCCTTGAAACTGCAACTAAATTCCTGTTTGATGTTTGAACAACAATTTTTTCTTACAAAAGAATTGACAGAAACAAAAGAATAAAAAAAAAAGTTGGGGGGGGGGGGGGAGCTTACATATACTGAAGAGTGTCACAATTTTCAAGCGCGCCTATATCCAAATCGAAGCCATTCTTCTGTCCATGCAACGCAAGTTCTTGTATTGGGTGGACTTGGAAGCAGAGTCTAGAGGGTAGAAGACGATGAAAAGCACTTCTCAGCCCTCTTCAAATCTCCCATAAAAGTTCATTTGCGGTGATACTCGGATTTGATATCATCCAAGTCAGCTGTATTGACATCATCCACATTTTCCGACAAAGCTCCTAATCTGTCCTTTACAGAACCTGCTCACCAATCAAGTCTAGACCAACCAGAAGGAAGGATATCCCTTGAAATAGTAAGAAGTAGAAATGGATACCCTGTGCAGACAGGAGGCTCCTCGCTGAAGCTGTTAGAAGAAGGAATGCCAGAGCTAGCTCCTTCGTATATATCCTATTATGCTTCTTTTTCCTAGCCTTTTGTTCTTGCTGGAGATCTATTTTAATTTCATCAAGATTGGGTTCTGATCCCCCACGCTGATGTTTTGGCTCTTTCTCAACCAAGGAGACAAGATCACCCTCAGATGATCGACCCGATTTCTTTGTAACAACCCACTCATATGCACTACCAAGTTGGAAAAGACCAGAGATCATGGCATTGAACTTGGTCACTGACATGGTGTTCTCAAAAAGAAGGTAAGGAACAATGAATGGGAATGATTTTGGGGCTGGAAGTATGTTGAGGAATGACATTGTAGCAGGGATGTAACAGACAACCCATGCTGGAAGCTCAGCCTCAGGAACGAACATTGTCATGGGGAGAATTATGCAGAAAAGAGTGAAAGAATAAAATGGTAGGATCAGTTTTCTAAGCAAAAAGAACAGAAAGATCATATTGAATTTCTTCCACACACTAATCTGCACCAATTAAAATGCAGAACAAGAACAAAGTTAGGAATCAGAATCACTAACAAAATAGGATAGATGATTGCCACTTTAAGCAAAGAATGCTCTGAAAAAGTGTGCACCTTAGCACGGATAATATCTGGCAGACAGAGGCGGAACAACTGCATGGGTCCAGAATGCCATCTGTGCTGTTGTTTTCTATAAGCTTCATAGGACTCAGGAAGTTCACACTGACACTGAACAGATAACAAAACCAACAAACATTAACTCCCTAGAAAGTGAATGGCAGGTAAATTCAACTACCAATATGACAGATTAAAACTATAGCTATACCTCAACGTCATTGAGGAAAACGAACTTCCATCCTTGAAGATGAGCACGGACAGCTATATCCATGTCCTCAACTGTGGTTCTCTCCAACCACCCACCAGAATCCTCCAAAGCCTTAATCCTCCAAACCCCAGCAGTCCCATTAAACCCAAAGAAATTAATAAAAACACCATTCACTTGTTGCTCTACCTCAAAGTGAAATGCCAAATTTATGTTTTGCAATCTTGTCAGCAAATTCTCATCCTTATTCACAAATGACCACCTTGCCTGAACCAATCCTACATCCTCATTATCCTGTAAGCATATGACCAAAATAAAATTTCAATTCAGCTAATCCTAAACATACTAAATTGAGCTTGAATTTACTAAATTGCAACCAAACTCAAAACAGAAACAGTTAAATTAGTTACCTTAAAATGGGGTACGGTTCGTTTAAGAAAATCAGGGTTGGGCTGGAAATCAGCATCGAAAATGGCAACAAATTCATAGTCTTTAACATAACTACAACTCATGGCAGACTTAAGATTACCAGCTTTGTAACCATCTCTAATTACACGGTGCCGATACACAATGTGAGCACCTTCTTGTTGCCATTTATGCACCTCCTCTTTAATAAGCAGCTGAGTCGTTGGATCATCAGAATCATCCAAAACCTGAATTAATATTTTCGACTTTGGCCAGTCCAAATTACATACTGCAGCAATTGATTGTTGGTAAACCTGCAAATAAAGATTTAAAATTAAACCATAATCACAAAATGGGTTTCTTTTAAAATGATAAAAGAAAGATTTTTTTTTCTATTACCTCTCTTTCATTGCACATAGGGATCTGAACGAGGACCATTGGGAACAAACCTTTTTCTCCAGATTCAAGATCAGCAACAGCGTCTTGTTTGGGAATTGGCTTGATTTTTTTCAAACGGATCCAAAAACAACCCAAACAGAGGACTAACCGATCCATGCTTTGGATAAGGAAAAGAATAATGCAGACATTTGCAAGAAACTGAAGAGGAGGAGCAAGATACTCCACCCGAATCAAAACCCAACGAGAGTACATCCAATCGAACAAATCTCTAACACCAAACGGCACCGTAAAAATGTACTGTAGTTGAAGCTTTGGAGCACCAAAATGCCAGCCTTTAAAATACGCGGCAATCTCGAAACCAAGTAACAATAAAGATAACCAAAGGAACACTTTGATGCAGTTGTAGAACCTGGTTTTAACGGTTTTGTTTTCATTGGAGGAACTGTTGTCGGTTTCATTGTCGTTGTCGGTCTCGGTGTCGGTTCGACCAGAGGCGACTCGGCGACGGATGGCTGAACCAAGACTGACCAATGTGGAAGCAATGGAGGTTAAGCAACCGGCAGCACGGTGGGCTTTTAGCAGGAGGACCCAAGTGAGTTGCTTCGCGTTTTTGCCACGTGCTTTTTCTCGAGTACCGGTGGGGGTGTTGCCGATGAGGAAATCGTCTTCGGATGGACCTTCGAGCTCGACCATTGACCAGTTTGGGTTTTCCATTTTAACAACCACCGGGGTTCCTTTATGGCTGCCTTTCGCCCACCAATCAAAGGGCGGTGCCATTGTTGGGTTTTTCTTATCCTTGAAACTTGGCTGTTGGTTTCGATCTTGATGAGGGGTCAAAAATTGAAAATGTAGGAGAAAAAAAGGCTAAAATTTTAACAACATTGCCATTATCAGATGAATAAAGGAGGAGAAGAAAAGCAAACAAAAGGGGACATGCAGACGCGTGGTTTTTGTTAAAAGCAAAGAAGCGAAGGCGTCTTCCTCTAAATTATGGCGAACCAAACTTACAAAAAAAAAAAAAAGAGAAACTTTGGGTTTTGAAGGGGAGCTGAGAAGAAGAGAGAGAAGCTTTCTCAGTTCTGACCTGTTTAAGGGGAAAGATTAAGTTCCAAAAAAGGCTCTTCTCATTCAATTACACAACTTGCAAAAGGAGGTGGCTTTAAAAAACCAAAAACAAAAATTGAAAGAAGACAGAAATGGGAAAAAGATGGTAACAGCTCAGCACGTCTTTGATTTTATTTTCTTTAAAAAAAATTGGGAATTCATACACAGTACATTATTTTCTCAAGTCACAAAACACGACAGCACGTTGTCAGTCAATTTCAAAGATTCAAAAAAAAAAAAATTATCTTGATAACCTTTGTTTGTATTTACCACAACCCAAATCTTAACCCCTAAGAAGATTTTATTACAACAAAAAAGAAAGACGGCAATTAAGGAATTGAATTAATACAAGATTATGTTCATAATTACAAAGAGGATTTTTAAAAACAAAGACATTTGTGGAGTTCCGACAATGACAGTTTTTCTTTTCAATTTCTCTCTATCTTTTTTACAACAACTGCTTTTAAATTTTAATAAATTCAACAACAACACACCACGACAACATCAGCCATAACCGATAACCCTAGAAATAAAAAAATAAAAAATAAAAAATCATCGGCAGAATTTACAGAGCAGTAAAAATCGAAGAGATTTTTCCCTCGTGTAAAAATGGTAAGCTCCGATCTTCTTTCTTTCTGGGTTGGCGTCGTAATTTTCGCCTGTGATTCAAGAAAAAAAGGAAACAAAATATATTATTCCGAGAATAATATATATCTATGTATAAATGATCACACGCGAAAATGTAGGCCAAGCTCGAGATAGTTCAAAGTTATGTTTCTAACAACCATTCTGTGTTAAAAAGTTTTCTAAAAAATGAAAATGGTTTTTCTTTTTATATTATATTATATTATTTTATTTTTCGAGAGGAGGAGAGAAGAGAGGCTAATGACTAATGAGCAGTAATTCATCCACGGCTATCCCATTTTGATGAGGTAAAAGGATAGGGAAGAAGACCAAGTCCCCTATTTTTACTTTGGTAATTAGAAAAATGGAAAATGCCCTTAATTGGAATTTTAAGAGTTAATTAATTTTTTTATTTCCATAATTTAGGCAAAAAATTAATATTGCCTATTTTTCCTACTATTATTAGCCAACAATAAAGAATAATATAAGGAGAGAAAAGCACGCGCCATAGTTGCGGTTTCGGTTGTGACGAACTGACGATCAAAATTTGTTTTTGTCGAATTGTCAAAATTAGCCTCCGACACTCTCCATGCCACCGACAATTTGGAGTCAAAGAGCGTGAAGTTACAAAGGGTCGTTTTGGGAAATCCAATGGATGAAGAGACAATACAAGAAAAATCAATGAACACGCAAGCACCGTGTTACTGTGGTACTTCAGAAAATCGATGCCTTGATCTAAAACTGAATCAGTGATCCAAATCTTTGCCTTTGCCAAAACATTTACTCCTCCGAGCTGATCGGCTGCACGGTATAATAAACTCCTCTTGTGAAAAAAAAATGAAAACGAATTATTTGGTCATGGTCACGTGAGACACGATAAAGTGAGGAACAACATAACATTTTCAAAATTAAAGAAAAAAAAAAAACAAGATATAGACTGTCTGAAACATAGGACAAGGGGTGAAATTGGAAATTCAATTTTTTTATCTTAGCAATTTAAAGGCAAGACACATGGCAAGTGACGTGAGGAAAAGACAACACCAGGCTGGCCACTACAGCCGGCAGCTGCCTGTCGTGCCTTCATCTACTTTCGCGCAATCTTCGCTTCGCCTACTTGCTGCCTCATTCTTTTTTTTTTTGCCAAGCCTTAAGTGGCAAATTAAAAATGAATATTTCACACATAAAAATCATTTTTACTTGTTAATAGAGTTGAATTTCCGCATTACAAGTAGCTTAAAAATCACTATAAACATAATAATTTATTTAAAATTACATAAAAAATTTTATACACACATCATACTACCATTTTTTCCCGATAATTCCATCATCATATTGAGGATTATATGTTGCTGTTTTTGTTTATTAATATAAATTTTCTTTTTTATTAAAAATTATCCAATACAAAGAGGTTACTTCCATCCTATATTAAACCAAGAGGCAGTTTTTCCTTTTATTTTTTTTAATATTTAACTCTAGCTGTGGTCTGGCTTTATTGCCATGCAATGTCTGTTTTAAATTTGTTTGATTAGCTGTTGGGTAGTTGCTGGCTTGTAAAGTTTGCGTACCAGTGCCAGTTTAATTTGCTGCTGTATCTCATTGTAATGCGTTTGGGTTTATTGAGATGTCCAAAGGAGTGGAAACACATGAAAGCTCTTGAGTTTATTGTTGTACATTCATTTAGGTTGAGATATTGAATTTCACTTTCTTGAAATACTAAAACATTAACGCATGAGCTTTTGTTAATGGCAACCAACTCTTCTTCAAGTTTTTCACGCTATATAAGTATATTACTAGCATTTTTTTATCAAATCATATTTATAAAAACCAACATTCATGGATGACAGCTCTTCGTATGATTGCTTTTGATTATTTTCCAATGAAACGAAAGGAATTATAGAAGTTTTGTGAGTAAGTATTATAAAATTAATTAACATTATAATAAAGATTAATATTATTTAAGAAAAAAAATTTGCAGAACATGTAGGACCCTAGCATCTGTATTAGGTGAGAGTAAAGAACATTGGTCATAAGTATAATTGATCTCCAATATAAATAATAATTGCCTAAAATAAATGGACGGTTGATTGAATTCCATGACCTAAATCATGGGCACATGAATTTAATTAGTTTGATACATTTTAAAAATTTGGTCTGAAACGGTGGATCGTCTGTCCCATTAGACAATGCCGACGCTAAACTTTTTTGAGAATCTTTTAATCGCTAGTACTAATATTTATGTAATCAAACGATTTAGAGCTAAATTGATTTTAAATTAAAATGGATTGGTCGATTAATTTAAAAAAATGTAAAAGAGAGGCTTATAAGTTAGTTCAATTAATTTATACAATTATTTTTAAAATATAATATTTAATAATTTTAAAATTTAATACATATAATTTTTTGTATGTTTCAAGTTACTACTTTTTTATATACATATATATTTATAAAAATTAATATCATAAATAAATTTTAAATTATAATAAAATTTAAAAAATTTTAATATAATATTTGAATTATAAATTTATTAATTAATATAATACTTATTACTAATGTAATTAATTTTAGATAATAAGACGTAATAATTATTTTAAATAACAAATTTATAATTTAAATATTAAATTAAAAATTTAAACAATATCATATTAAATATTTTATTATAATTTAAAAATTATTCAATACATTAATCCGTATATAAAAGAAGCTGGCTCCACCGAAAAAGAATGAAAAAAAGAAAAAAGGTGTCCAAATGAATGGAAAAGAGAAGAAGAAAAGTATAGATTGTGGAATCACGATGATTGTATTAAACCAAAGAAATGATGTGTTTTTTCCTTTTTTTTTTATTAAGTTTTATTTTTGGATGAGTCATTAAACCAATAATTTCATGTAAACGTGCAAACTCTCTAGGTATTTCTGTGCTCCCCATGCTATGCTTTTCTATTTAGTTAGCAAATTAATCATTATTCTTCTTTTATCTTTCTTACGACTTATGATTTATTTTATTTTAAGTTTAGTTTTATTATAAGTTTTTAATTGGTTTGATTTGATATTTATTATAAAATATAAACTAATTTAGAAAGTCTAACATCCTCCCATGTTTTCATTAATGCACTTGTAAAAATTTCATCATTCAACGAAAAAAATAATAGTCTATAAACAAAAAGGAAAATGTCAAATACATGAAAGGGTGGTTTTCTCATAAAATAAAAAAGATTTTTTTTTTTTCCAAAATTTTTTCCCATTTAGAATATGTTGTTACCAATTCATCACTCCTGCATACCACAGAGTCCAGATTGTTAGATTTAAAATATAGGGAAATCAATTGAGAACAAAAGAATAAAAGTTTGCATAATATTTGGAAGGAAATTATATACCATACTTCCATGGTGGTGTATAATATAGAATATTTTACTTTGGGAGCTGAATACCTCATATTCCCACACAATTTATTTCTTTTTAGTTGTTAGATTATATTATTGTTATGGTTTCAATTCACCCTTCCTCGAGGGCAAGGAATCCAAAAAAAAGCAACCCAATTTATGCTGTAGGGTACATTTGGTTGGGATCATGATTTTCTCATCAAGAAAAGGGTGGCAAAAGTAGAATAAATAGAGAGGGAGAGAAAAGAGGAAGAAAGATGGCAAGCTGTGGTATCTTCATATATTTTATTATTAATTTTAGAATGGGGTAATAATAATAATACCCTAAATCCTAAGTTTTTTAGTATAAACCATATGAACTTCAGGTTGCCTTTTTTGGGGGAAATTCGATAGCTTAAAGCATGAATTTGATGCCAAGTGCAATTTATGACAACTCTTAATGCATAACAGATTTGAACTTTTTTAACACTTTTCAAATTATCATTAAAGTGACAATCAATAGAATATTAATTATATCGATAAAATATTGAAAATTTGATAATTATAAATATAAAAGTGATAATCAATAGAAGGAGTATTGAATTATCAATACAAAAAATTGTACTATTAATTAAGCTGGCATTTTTACAATTTTGTTTCTTTTTAGTTTGTTATAAAACTGTTTTTCAACAAGCCATGGTATGGGATTTGTGGCTTTCACCCAAAATGCAAATTCTTTCAAATTATCTTGTTCTAAAAAAACCCCTTTTTGAAGTTTCAACTCTTTTTCCAAAGGAAAAAATTAACTCCTTTCAACTTCAAAGCCAGAGTCTTTGGTTGAAATGTCAGTATTGGACTATTGATGGCCCCTTGTGAGTACTTTTTTTCCCCAAAGTACCATTTTTGAAGACAAATATATAGGACAAATCCAGGGGCTTTGATTGTGGCAATTGAAAAAATAAACCCAGAAAATTTCACTAAATTACATCCTCCATTTAATTAATTTGAATATTACCTTCAAAATCAATCGGCTTAATTATTGTGGTAATCAGCATTACAGTATTTATTATTCTAGTTTTTAATAAGAATGAACATGTCATGTCAATCATTTTGACCTAACACCGAACAGCTTGGAAATATGTACTTTGGGATTTCGTTTGAAAATTGAAACAATCGTCATGATTTACACGAGGAAAGAAACAAAGCTAAGTTCCCTCTTGCCAAAAGGGTGACACTTTGAGTAATTGAGTTTCAATTTCTAAAACGTAATTTAGGTTTCACGAAATTTCTTTGTTCATGTTGTTAAATGAATTTTTAATTATCAAAACCATGCGTCGAAGCTGACAATTTAACTCCAAATATACCCCAAAAAAAAATGCAAAATATTAAGAATGGGATTTTATTTTCTGAAAATAAATTGTTTATAAATCATAACAAAAAACTGGCATACTTTGGAGCGGTTATCTGACATTTATTTGATTTTGTATGAATATGACTGTCATTGCAATTCTCTCATCTACTTTCAAAGGGTTGATTTTAGAACATACGGGAAACAACTGTAAAATAACTTGTCTCGGAAAGATTGGGACAGGGAGGGAACAATGTTTATGCGACAAGTGTTAAGAAAATGTGGGTTTGCTAAAGGAAAATGAAGCGGCTACAACGCAATGCTCATGTCAAAATTGTGGAGATGACTCCTCCCGAGACAGTTTGGGGGTGACAACGTTGCCTTATGTTGTTTATGTATGCATGCTTAAAAATGCCCATAAAATTCACCCATCAATTAAATAGGCCTCAAAGCCCAATTTGTAAAATGTCAATCCATCCAATCCTACAAGGGCACCCAAACATTAGCTAGAAAGAAAGACGTCCGCAAAGCTCTGGTATAAAGGTCCAAAACCATTGGACTCGCCCCAGTTTTCTAAAAACAAAACACAAACCATATGACAAATGGAACAATTTCAGGATGAAATCTTTACCAATCTCAAATACCAAAAAAAACAAATAGGGAATAAATTAAAAAAAAAAAACCTTAATTACATGTATGGTTATGAAGCATAGTGTTGGCATTATCTGTAACGCACTAATTATTATTATTATTACTATTATTACTATTATTTTTAAATAAACGATAGAGATTGTCATTGCCTTTTAGTATGTGATGTCCTTGCTTTAAAATTCCATCCAAAAGATGAGCAATGTTAAACTTGTTTTAAATTTGGAATTGACACTTTTTCATCCAGACCAGAATATTTTCAATTCTGTAAAAGGAGGCAGATAAGACACCAAAATCAGTAATTGAAATACTCTACCAAAGAATCAAGAAATAACAACTAAATCACCTGCATTACTTCAGAGAATAGTTAGTATCAAACCTCACGAGATGCTGGAACAGTCACTCTATTCGTCATGCTTTCACATTAAGCTGCATGAAAGAAACCCAGATTGTTCCCGTCCCCTTGCCCTTGAGTTTCCCACTATGTCAATGAACCAGCAAAACCAGATATACAAGGACCCTTCCATAAAATCAGGTTACAACTCCTTGGTCAACACTAAAAATGCTATAAATATCACTAGTCACAGCCACGGTGCTTGTTGAGACAGCAAGAATAATCATCATCCATGATATTAGTCTATCATTCTTTGTTGCAATTCCATGGATATCCCTGCATAAGTGCCCATCAGAATCCTTAATTATTTGATTACCACATTAAATAGAAAGGTTAGAGCAAAAAGGTTCTTCAGATGATAAAAACCATATTTATTAATTGCAAAACTTTTTTTTTTCTTCAAATCAGTTTTGGTTTCATCTATGCTAATCAAATCTATCAATATCTTATCTAACAAGCTCTATTTAGGACCCATCATTGTACGTCAGCCATTTTGCACAGCCCTAAATCATAATCTTTAATACTAGTTTTCATGTATGGTACTTTGTTCCTCTACCAGGCAACATGATGTTGCCATTGATAACATCATATCCAACATACTGTTGCATGTAAAGTTCTTTTGACACAGAATTCAACAAAACCAACATATATAACTATTACTTACCTAAGGGTGATTGCAGCTGGAAAGATAAAGCCAACACAAACCGCAGCAGTTGCACCAGTAAACTGGAAGGCATCCCAGATGCTAGGAACAAAGTTGGCTCCCATAAAGATAAAACCCATAAGAGCTACTGTTACAGAGAAGAACCTCCTGTTGTCAAAAGCAATAGGAATGGCGTACGGAAATAAAAGACCATCTACGTTGAGACGAAGTGAGAAAAACACAATTGGGAAAACAAGCATCAGGTGAAGACCATAGCTCACTCTGACCAAATCATCAAGCAATGAACTATATGGAATTCCAAGATCACCATCAAAGTTGGCAAGCACGTCATCCAAAGTATGATCTCCAAAGAGAAAAACTCCAAAGAAGCTGGTAGCAATGTAGACAGAAGAGCATAATGTGAGGGACTTTCTAACTATTGACTTCATCTGTGTAGGGGCTTTCAATTCATTCTCTATTGGGAGTACTGCAAGGTGTATTCAGGAAAGAAAACGGTTAATCAATTGTCCTAAAAGCAAGCAATCAATACGTTAAACATCTAACAATCTTCGCTATGTAAGAATGAGGGATGTGCACGATATTTGGAAATTCAAACATCAATTTTGAAAAAAATAAATTTTCTACACAAGGAATGCACAAAGGACTAATATAAACTGAATCTCTCATAGTCTCATAAACAAACAATTCTGATACAGAAGACATCTTGTGATGGCGATATCAAATTACTAGAATTCTTAAAAATAATGCATCATTTTTGTCATTCTATGTAATGTTGAACGCTAGGTCAATTTGGGTCGATTTGGTCATTGCGGAGCTTTATATATCTATATATTAATCATCTCTTACCCTTAATGCTCTCAACCAACTAACCAAGTTAAATAAATCAATTTTAAGCAGATTGGATGAAAATGAACTCGAACCAACGATTAAACAAAACCAAATTACGATACTAACAGTATAGAAACAATCAATCTATCATTACTTACTATTATGGTGGCATATAAAAGCAGTAACTATAACAGGAACGGTGGTGAAAAGCTTCCAAAACGATGCCTGATTAACAAGTTTTGGCATTAGACGAGGCATTCCAATTTTCCCTTCCATCAACTTAACAATTGCAACTCCCGCTGTTATTGCCACAAACACAACCGCCAAACCAACCGACAATGCTGATGTGTATCTCAATGAATCTAAAATCACCAAAATTTAACCCAAAAAAAAAAAAAAACTTAATTGCTTGAAAATATTTTAAACCAACAATTTAGAATTTTGACGAGTTATAGTTTGTTACCAACGCGCTTGAATGAAATTAGAGGAGCAAAAACGAAAAGTGTGGTGAACAAGAGCCAAGCCAAACGCGTGGTCCACCAATGTTCACCGAACCATTCTTCCATTACTCCCCTGTGGTGGAAGCCATCTACCCATGTCCCCGACAACACATCACCTGCCAATAATTCAAATTCAGTCGAGATCAAACGGCTGCTAATAGTTCCATGTGGCGTAATTTTGGTTTTAAATTACCTATGATGATCATGTAAACCACAAGCATGCCCAAGTTGTTGATGACAATGCAGGCTTGAAGGAGGTTACGGCCCACCCCACCGAAAGCGTCGGCGGCAACGCCTGAATATGTGGCGGATTTAGAGGCTCGGCTGAATCTGAGAATCATATCAATTGATGATTCCGTTAACATAAAGACGAATATGATTGTGATTAGGCCAGGAATTAGACCCAGTTGATTGACGGTGGCTGGGAGCGCCATGATTCCGGCTCCCACGATGGTGGTCGAGAGGTTACATACGGCTCCTGAAATCGAGGCGCCATCGAAGCCGGATTCATGAGCCTCGAATAATTGGTCTTCGAACTTTTGAGGGAGGAGAGGCGTTCGGGGACTCCGCCGGTATTTACGGTCTGACGAGGGCATAATCGTCATTTATAAGGTTGGTGATTAAGACCGTTGAAGGGGTGGAAGAAGCGACTCGACGGGAGGAAGTCCTAAGCCGGCGTAAAATAATATATGGACGTTAGGGAGGTCTTCATGCGGGAACTGACGTGGGGGAATCACGTGTTGGCACGTCTAAATGACGTGAAATTTCAGGAGAAAACTGTAGCCAGGATATTGTAGGTGATGTAGTCTTGCCAATAAAGGTCTTCGACTTTGAAGAATCCGTTCGTTGGACGGCCTTTCTTTTGGTGTCGTTTGATTATAAATAACAAAGAGGAACTGCTCGATATGATTCGGGAAGCAGAAGAAAAGCCAATGGCGACCAGACACCTGCCAGCCAATAAACCCCTTTTCATAATTTTTTTTTTAAATTTTGTTGCTTAAAATGGAACATTAATCGGTGTACGATTCTGTACATTTTACCATCGAGAGCGTTTCAGCTTTCAATTTGCAACGGCTACGCTATCCACCGAAGAGTTAAAAGTCAGCAAGCTGACCGTTGCCTTTCAGTCAACCCACGTCCGCTTCGTGGGTAAAGAGGGCCTAAAAGGTAGACCCACACTAAAGTGATCATGGGCCACATACTCATGAATTAGTTGATCTTGTTATGCCCATAATGGAGTCTACGCTCATCTCCTAGCCAGGTCTTAAAAGATCAAAGCCCAAAGAACGTCCAGCTTTCAAACGTTTGTTTGCGGTGTGGCTGATAAAATATAAATAAAGGTTTGAGGCTCCACTAGCAAGGCTGGCAATTGCAGGCTTATTTCACTCACGCAATTCAAAAAAAAAAAGGCCGAATGCAACATGTTACACTATAGTATCTTTGGTGGGCATTCAGTTGCTTGAACAAGATGCGAGTGAGGACTAACTATCTTGGAAAACAGAATTTCGACGCACAAGTTCCTTCAACGACCGAACCTGGGTCTCAGTCCAGTGGTGTGCCTGCCCTTCTAAATGTGTGGCTACAGCACTGCAATTGAATCCAAGCACCTGCACTTCACCATTTTACCCTCAAATTACTCATCGCTAAAGGGTGAAAATGGACAGGAGCCACTTCCCTATAAGTTAGAGATGTATCAAGGCTTTCATCATATGATTTTGTCTTTGACATTTTCTCTATGAACTTTGAACTAGGTGCCATGGCACGGTAGTATATTACTTTGAGTATCATACCTAAGATTAATGGGTTAATCATACAAACTCACCTCAGAAATGAATTAGTGGGAAACTCGTGAAATCCAATACAAGGTCTCCAAAGCTAACAAATTTTGTCTCCATTCAATGTGTATGACAGATAATATGGCCAACGCACCAACATCAGATTTGATGACGTGTTAACATCGGCAATAGATTTCAGCAGACATGGAATTATTGCTAAGGGTAATATAAATAAATTCGCAAAAGTGGGGTTGATGGTCAGCATGACCTTTTTTTATCAGCATAGTAATCTCACGGGGAGGGGAAAGAATAAAAGGAAACAAGACTAATAATTGGACAAGTTGGAACTTACAAAAGTATCCATCATGCAGTGCATCACTAAATCAATGTTTTCTCTTTAGTTCGTTGCTTCCCTTGATCTTGTTGTCCACAACAGCTTGTGAAGATTGCAACTTTACTCCTACAGCTTAACTCCACAGAGTCCTTTCTACATCTGATGCCGTGGAGGAGTCACCTTTTGAACTTTATTCCTGTAATAACAAACAGGAGGTAATTTGACCACTAGTAACCTGATTATGCAAAGAAGATGTTAATATGCAATAGCATTTAGGAATAGATTTTTAAATGCAAAGTTTAATTGCATTGATATTCGGAGGTAGAAGAGTCTAAGTATAGTAGATGCCTACACAGATTATCCTTGCAGAAAGATATTTCTTGGAGTTGACATCTGATAACTATCAGACACATAAGGGAAAACTGCCTTCGCATGATTTAATGCCTCTGTTCCATGACAACATAGACATAATGAGAAGTTATTATTCTTTTTCCATGAATAGAGCCAACGGACGAGCCTAAAACCAAAGGGGCACTAATTAAGGACAGCGGTAAAATGGTTGTCACTTGTCAGAACATCAGGAGTTCAGGATCTTCATCTATAAAATTTTATTGCTGGAATGCTCTATTACTTTTTGTTCAAAAGCAGGAAAGTCCGATGTCTTTTATTCTGGTGACAGAGCAAGAGGCTTAAAATTAAGAATGGCACCTGGTTAAGGCGGTGTGGGGTTTTTCTCGCTCCGAGCTTAACTCAATTTTATTAGTTTAATATCCAAATTTGATATTAAAATATTATTTTATATCTTAATTTGATTTGATTAACATATATTTAAATTTGTAATTGATCTTATTTAATTCAAAATTAATAAAATATTTTTTAATATAAAATATAAAATAAAATAAATAATATATATACTGGGCCGAGTGCATAAAACCCAACCTTAACTTTTTTTTTTTAAAATACTCAATCTGATATTTTTCAAAAAAAAAAGATTTTATAAAATCAAATCACGTCGAAATCTTACAAATACGAATTGTATTGTCAATCCTAATTAAAATATAATTCAATCAAATATTCAATGAGACTAAGGATAACAACAAATCAAGTCAGCAAATTTTTCTTATCCTAGACCTAACCCGACTCTCTCTCTCTCTCTCTCTCTCTCTCTCCTATATATATATATATATATATATATATATATATATATATAAAACACAAACTTGACCCAATTCAATAATTTTTTTTCATACTCAAATTTGATATAAAATTATATCTAATAAAACTTAACTCGAAATTAATAAAATATTATTTTTTAAAAATATAAAATATTATTTTTTAATATAAATATAAAATTAAATAAATATACATAAATATAAAATTAAATAAATAATTAAAAAATTATTTATATATCAAGTCAGATGAAATTTACCTAAAATCTAACCCAAATCGATCTCGATTTTTTTTACTATTACTCAATGCGATACCCAATTTAAAAAAAAAAAATCGATCCTAAAAAATTAGATTAGATTGGAACGGTTTGGTACGGATTGGACGACCTTTCCTAAATGAAACAAAGGTTTCGATGAATATTGCCAACTACAGAATATTAGAGTTGCCTTACTCTTTGAGACATAGATGCCATTACGCAGCCAAAAACATAAATAGCCAAGAATCAGGAACAAGTAAAACAAGTGAAGGAAGGACATCCCCTATCAAGAACATATCACCACTAGCATATTACAAAGAAACAAACACATCACCGCTGGCATCAGATAGCTACAAATTGAATGAGAAGATGATGAATCTTCTGAAAAATATAAAACAGCCCCAGATCAGCCATCAACTTTGGAAACAAAGAGTTTAAGAAAAGAAAGAAACCTTGTGGTCCCAAAACTAAGTTTTACACTTTTAGTTCTTGTCAAGTAATTTCCTCTGTGAAAACACCATTTTTGGGGGACCATGCAAAGTGGTGCTCGATCAAAATAAGATATACAAAGTATAAATGAACTTAACATCATGAAAATGAAAGAAATTTAGCCACTGGGCAACAGTACTCGTTAATTTACAAAACATAATCAGATGGCGAGTCGTCACTCTAAATTCTTTTCTTTATCTAAACAGCACCAATAAGAGCAGAAACAAACTTCCAATGCATTTTTTGGGGACCATGAAAAGAAAAAATAGAAATATTCATCCAGAGTTTTTCCCTGTCAAGTAATTCTTTGCATGAAAAGAATATTTCTTGGGGACCATCTAAAGCAGTTCTCAATCAAGAAAACAAGCAAATACTAGTAAAAATAGAAATAAATTTCACATCAAATGTACAAAATTTAACTCGCTATACGTCACTAGAATCAGATAATTAATTCATCATTCTACGTAATATTTTCATAGCATCTTGCACGGCATAGATGTGTAATTTTAAGCCCAATCAATTCTATCAACAATAATTCATTAATTTAAAATTTGCCTACTGAAATGCCGTTGTACGAACTTGAAAACCGCAGGCATATTTTAGTTACAGAATATTTAATAGTGATTAATAACAGCTATAATCATCAAATTATATACATGTACGGACATGCATTCATAATATCAGTCTTTAATAAAATAAAAAGGAATATAACCAACCTTAGATTTGCTCTGCATTTTATCCACAAATAACTAGTATTGCTTGAAGGAATAATCTTTTGAGTTTCCAAGCGCAGCCACCATAGCCTTGAGCACAAAATAAAATAAACCGTTAATAAACATGAAAGAAAAATAATCGGGGAAAAAAGATTCGAGAAGAATTTACCTCGTCGGACATTAACGTCTCCGTTTCAGGAGCGAAAGCAGCTAGAACAACGGAGGCAGTAGCGGGGGCGACTCCTTTCAAAACCGTAAGCTTGGAGACGGCTTTGGAGAAGCGTTTGGAAAGCCTTTTGAAAAGCGGATCTTACGGAAGAGTCGGGAGAGGTCAGAGGTGGTAATGAAAGGGTTAGGGTTTCGTCGGTGAAGAAGAGAGAAATTCGTCGACAGAATGGTTTGTTCAGAGAATCTATTCGAGATCTGTAAGAGGAGATGGCTTCTTTCCAAATACTCAAAATTAAGTTCCATTTGAATTGTTCCCGCTATTGGTATTTTTCAATTTAAAAAATTTACTTTTATAAATCATTTTAATTGAGCCATTCGGGCCTAAAATATGGGCTTAGAAGTTTACTTATATGCACAACAAGTTGTTTTTGTTTTTCAAACTTTACTAAATTAAAATTAAGTCAAGGTGTTTTTATTGTTAGAAAATTAAAATTATAAAATTTATTTATTATAATTATACATATTAAACTTTAATAACTAAAATCATTAAAATGATATTCTCTCACATATTTATCATTCAATTTGTCTAAACAAATTCAAATAAACATATTTTATAAATCATATCCGTGAAGATTTTAAAATATATTATTTTTATTCTTAAAATAATGCAGTAATTATTTATTTTGCAAGTTAATAAGGGAACAAGCATGGAACTAAGTCAGAGTACAAGCTGACTAGTCTCAAGATCATGCTTTGGCTGCTAATTAAAGTCCATTTTCGCCGGCGAGCAACATTTGTCACCATGTATCTGTAATTATGTATAATCGCCTTTGCCTCGTTTGTGTTTATTTTCTAAATTTATTCATTACTTATCTTCCGTTCTTTAAAACTGTGATTAAAGGTGTAAATATGTGTTCGATGAAAATTATCAATTTTGATTAAAAACTTATTTAAAATTTTACAAACGAATTTTTAAAAAAATGATATATGCTATTATAAATTTATATTTAATTCATTTTAAAAAAATTATGCATTTATATTTTTTAATTTCACTTATATAATATAAACGGATTCTAATAATTAATTTGAACACCATCTAACATGTATATTTAATAATAAAGTTACCTTTCTACACAACAATCAAAGTTTGGTAGTGGGACTTGACATTCTTTTGTCACTCGAACACTCCACTTTTTTTTTTAATGTAATAATTTAAAATATATCGATATAAAAATAATAAAATAAAAATATAAAAATAATATAATTTAAAATTTTAATAATAACTATACGAATTATAATACATAATTTTTATATAAATTTTAATATTTTATATTATATAAATATACGAATTTGAAGTTAACTTTTTTTTTTTTCATTACCTTTTTTACTATTTGTTGTTAATGTCAATATTAGCTTTTCTACTTGGAAAAGAGGGCGCAATATTTTCTTTCTAATTTTTTATTTCTTTGTAGACGTTGATGCCTTTCTTCTTTCCTTGCAAATCTTGGGCCGTTTCTTTAGTAAATGAACTAGAATGGTGACCCCACCTCTACATGGGTCACCATTTCTAAAATAAATATTATTATTTATAAAAATTTAATTAAATAATAATAGTAATTATTCAAAAAAGTAATAGTATTTACAATGAGATAAAGATAATTATTTTAAATTTTTATTATATTTAAAATTAAAATTAATAATATAAAAATACATTACTTAATAAAAGAATAAATCGATCATTTTAATTTATTTACAATTAAATATTATAATAAACTATATTAATATGTTAATATTTTTAAAGACACTGTAAAATTAAATTAAATAAAAAACTTTTTTTATTACTTAATAAAAAATACATTACTTAATAAAAGAATAAATCGATCA